TCTTGACAGTTTGGTCCTGATATGTGCAGGCGTAGAATTTTGTTTGTGACTATTCTGTACATAGCGATCCTGCTGTTGACCAAACATGGCATTATTTTCTTTCAGTCCCTACTACTGTATTGTTCTTTACCTGTTGTCCTGGTGAGAACCAGCAGCATAATGCTGCACAGATGTGGTGATAATGACCATCACTGTTTGTTTTTTTTTGGAACTGGGGTTTGAACTTGGGTCCTTGCACTTGCAAGGCAGGCCACCGAACTGCTGAGCTAAATCCCCAGCCCACTGTTTGGTTTTTGATGTCAGGGAGAAGCCTTTGAATACCTTATCATTAATTTAAATACTTCACACTTCTATGAGTTTTCTATAGATTGTTTTTATCAGGTCAACAGAGATCTTTTACATATCTCTTCCTGTCTTACCAAGAGCTATTTCTTAATTTTTTATTTGTGTTCATTTTTATGAGGCGAGTTTAAAACATTTCCAATTTTTTCCCTCATCTTTTGAGATAATATTATCGTATGTCACCTTTACTCTGTTATTGTATTATATTACATTCAATATTTTATGTTGTTTTAAAAATATTGCATTTATCTTATGAAGCTGCCTTGGTCAAGATCTAATATATTTGGTATATTACTCAATTAAACTTAATGATACTTGTTAAATATTATTGTGAGGCTGTCCTGTAATTTTCCTTACTATGACATTCTTGCCAAGATTAAATATTAAAGTAACAGTGGACTTATAAAATAGCTTGAGTATCATCCCCAGTTATTGTATTTATGATTTATGTAAGTTTTTCATAAAAGTTTCAATGATCCCCCACTGAATTAATTTCATCCTGGATTTTTCATGACAGTCTTACTTAATGAGAATTTAGTTTTGGTGTAGAATCTGTAGGTTTGCTATTTCTTTTTGGGTACATTGTGTTTTAAAGAATCTGTCCCCTTTATCTAAATTGTCACATTTCTATGCATAAATTTTATGTACAGTATATACATTTATTTTTAATGCCAGAAGTGTAGTGACGTTGGCATTCCTGGTGTTGTATTCTACCTATTTTTTTTAATATTAATTGTTATGTTCAAAGTACTTTATTGCCTTGTGGATTTTATTTTAACTTGATAGTTCAGAATTTTCTTTTGATTTCTTTTCATTAGCCCCAGCTTCCTGGTGTCATTCATGTCTTTGGTTTTTATGTTTTGTTCATTATTAATTGGCCAATGTTAAAGTCTGTGTCTGATTACTCCAGTATCTGTATTGCCTGTGGACCTCTTTTTATTGTCTTTGTTCTTCCTCTTGACTCTGTTTCGTGGCATTCCTAGTATATTTGATTTCTAAGGCTGCTATAAAAATGTATCACAACCTTAAGTGATGGAAATTTGGTATCCCACAGATCTGGGGACCAGGAATCTTGAATCAAAGAGTCAGAATCAGAATGGTTGGGTCCTATGAAAGCTGGGAAGGATGTGTGTCTGCTCCTCTCCCTGGCTTGTAGATGGTCATCTCCTACTTGTGTGTTCATAGATCTTCCCCCATGCATGCCCTTGTGTCCAAGTCCTCCCATGTTATAAGGGCACCAGTCATTCTGGACCAGAATCCTCCTAACAGCTTAATTTAAATTTATTTTTCTTCAAAATTCTATCTCCAAAAGGCCAAATTCCTAGGTGGTGAGAGTTAGGACTTCAACTCTTTATGTATTTATTTTAGGTGTTGGTAGAACACAATTCAACCTATGGCATCTGATAAGTTGGACTGAATGAAGCATTTAGAACCTTGGGATGACTGTCTTTTCCTCCAAAGAATTGCAGAGTGTAATGAGAATGAGAAAATCCCTGTGATGCACTTAGAAGAGTTAGATGGCCCTAGTAAGTCCTCTTACTTATCTGTCTGTGATTCCCAGGCTCTCTTTCCATGGTCCCAGACTGCAGGCCATTTACCAGACTCCCAGAACCTGCTCATCTTCTCAACTCCAGCTTTTCTCATCCAGGTGCATTTTCCCAAGCTCACTGTGAACTTTGCAGTTCCTCTTCATCTTCAGCTGGTCAGAGTAGTGTCACACATCCTCATAAGTGACAGAGCTCTGCTACTTAGGGACTGATAGATACCTCAGAGATGACAGGTTTCCCTCCTGGGCTCAGTTTCCTTCGGTCTGTCTGCCTTAGTTGCCATGAACCTCAGATTTTGTCTCCTCCCAGCTGTGCATAGCTGCTCTGCTCTCCACAGTCCCTTTCCACATGGCGGCCCCTTCCTCATCTGTTCTGGGTTCCTGGGTCTAAAGGAGACAGAGGAGGCAGCTTGCACCTCAGGTTTCCCTTCACTTTCAGATGTGCATCTTTGATTCCTGGCCTTCAACTAGGTATTTTTCCTGTGTTTATCCCACTCTCCTTGTTTTCAGAGCTGGGATCTTATTTTTCAGAGCAGTTTTAATGATTAACTTTCTTTTCAAATGTAGAACTCTTTTCTAAGAAGTCAAAGCCTCATTTAACTTCAACTTGGATAATAAATTTTAAATAGCACATGTGTGGAAGGTTTGGAGTCATAGAATTTACACTTATGTATTATATACACATGCACACATATGCATGCTATCCTTTAGAAATAGCCCCCAGGAGGAGTTGGCAAGTAAATATACAGGGAATACTTGAAATTTGAATTTCTAGTCAACATGTTTTTTGCACAAGGCATACAAATTCTCCACAGTAAGGCATATACTTACAATGTCTTCACTGTTTATCTGAGTGCAGAACTTAAGTGGGCTTCCTGTATTTCGCCTGACAGCCTCATCACCAACACAAGAAGGAGTGAAGAGAAAAATGTACACACCATTAAATATAAAGAAACCCCCCAAAACACACGTGCAACTGAGGGAAGGGACAAAGGGCGAGGTGGGGGAATGATGAAAAGTATGCTGTGTGCCTGCAAAAAACAGGGAAATTCTTGTTCAGAGCCCAAGAGGGAAAGGAAGGTAGCAGTGAGTGTGGCACTGGGAACCTCTGCACCCCACTTCAGACATGGTGCCTGGGGCTGTGTTCCGCACATACAGGGGCAGAGCTCAGAAGCCGGTGCTGAGCTCCTTGCACCTGTATCATGCTTTTCCAGAGAGAGAGGTCCAGTCCAAGTGAGAGAGAGGAGAGAATTTGTCACTTTTGTGTGCTAGTTTTCTGACTCCGCACTCATGTCATCCCCTCCTGCGAACAACCTCACAGACACCCACAGAGAGAGCACTTCTCCTGCAGTCTGGGTGTCCAAATCAAGGGGACACTTACAATTAGACCTCACGGCCCTGACCCCGTCACAGAGCTTCTGACCTTCTTTCTTGTTACCAAGCACAGGCTCCCTCTTAACATCCTCCCTGGAAGGTGAGGCTCCAGCCCAGGGATTCAGGGGTCTCACACACAGACACACACAGAGACAGACAGACAGACAGACAGACAGACACACACACACACACACACACACACACTCTCTGAGAGCAAGCCACAGAGGAGCTCTAAGTGTGTATTGTTAAGTAAAGATACCAGTATGAAATGCTCCATCTTGTATCACCTCACCCCAGCTCTGTGGCATTCTGGAAAAGGCAAAACTATGGAGAATTGAAGAAAAGTCAGTAGCTGTCAAGGTTGGGCTTGGACCAAGAGTGGGATGGATAGAAGGAGTGTTCGGGATTTTCTAAGGCAATAAAACCATTCATGGTGCTGTAGCGGTGCATACTTGACGTTGCGCCCTTGTAAAAATCCAGAAAGCTGTATGACGTGGAGGGTGTGAGCCCTGTCGTGCACTGTGGGCTTCAGCTCCTCCACCAGTGTTGCTCCTTCAGCGGTAACACTTTTACACACGACTGTTAATTTTGAATGTTAGTTTTGTTTTTTTTTTTTTTGGTACCAGGGATTGAACTCCGGTCCTTGTGCTTGCAAGGCAGGCCACCGAACTGCTGAGCTAAATCCCCAACCCTGAATGTTAATTTTGATAACATCTGAAAATTTTCAAATTTTCCAAGGTGACTATATATTTATGTTAACTATAAAATTGAACAAAAAGGTTTTTTTCTTTCAATATGTACATTTTCTATATTCTTTTTCCTATTCAGACACCAAGCCCACTCCTGAAGGATTAACCCTGAAATATTAAGATTAATGAAATATTAATGGTAGAAATCACTGAGAATTGGGTCCATGGATTTTCTTTTGTCCTCTGCTTTTCTATATTTCCAATGAGAAATTATAATTAGTGTTATAATACAATTCAATTTAAAAATCTGAAATGGATGAAATGGATGAAGTTTTAGGGATTCATGTGTTTTTTTTTTCGTATATTGTTTTGGTCAGAAAATAACTGATACCCATTTATTAGGCACATATAATGAAAATCCGTATGCTTGCAATATTTTCTGGCCCCAAAGAAATCCCAGCTTTACTGTAATTACCACCAGGCCTCTGACTTAGGAGTCAATTTGTTCTGCTGGGCTCCCAGGTAGCTGCCGGAGAGGAGGAAGATATTTCACTTCTCTCTATGCTGCTAGTTTCTTTGCTAGGGCCAGGGACATCAGCCTGAGGATTGGCACATGAGTGAGGAAGACAGGTTGTTCACCTCCGTGCACACAGGAGTTTCATGCACAGTACTACTCAAAGGCCAGACAGAAGGAAGAGGCTCCTGTGCTGTCTTCACCAGCAAAGTGCAGGGGCCGAGGCAAGTGTCTGGGGAGGGGTCAGGCATCACAAGTAGCTTTTCCTAGCATCACGGAGACATCTTTGCAAATGGAAATATGCTGCCCTTGTAAAAGGGAAACACTCTGTTCTACTTTAGAGACAGCCTGCCTGTTCAGGTTTTCAGTTGCCTTAAGGTCAAAATAGTCCCTGGGCCAAAGGTGGCCCTGGGGGTGGTTGGCTCTGGTGCCCTCACTTTCCCTTAACTACAGCGCGGTGGCTTCCCGCCGAGGGGCCAAGAAGAGATGGTGTGGTGTTTGCAGGAAGCTGGCTCAGCTCTCTGTGTTTTTGCAGAACCCACGTGAGTCTGACCTCTGCCTCTGCTGGCCAGGCGGGTGTCCTCATCGGCTATTGTCCGCAGAGGGACGCCCTGGATGAGCTGCTGACTGCCCGGGACCACCTGCATTACTACTGCAGCCTCCGTGGGATCCCGAGGGAGCACATCCCCCAGGTAGGCATCCGGGCTTCTGGGAAAATGAATGAATGGATAGGCTGAGACTGTCAGGCCATGTAAGATCCCTCCTTCCCGCTCTAAGAAGGACGAACCATAGGGCCACATGAACTCCGACGGAGAGTCAGGGTGCTTCCTGGGTGTTGAGATTCTGAACTAGGAGCAGAAGAAAGCAGTGTGCCTGACAGCTTTCCAGTAAGAGCCTGCAGGGGCGGAAACCTCCACGGCCTCATAGAGACAGGACTCCCAGCCATGAAGACCCTTTCCCTGTGCTAGTTGTGCAGTGCCTCAGCCTCCTCTTTCTCACTCCAAGTGTAGCTGGCGCAGATTCTCCCGCCTCCCTGTGGAGGCCCCGGTGCTTCCTTAGTCACACAAGGATAGCTGACCTTCCCTAGGGAGTTGCTCCTGGAGGCTCCTGCTCTTGGGATCCCCATTAATTGGTGGCTCTGTCTTTAACAGGCGTTTTGCCCTTGTTAGTCTTTGATTAAAGAGATGCATGCTTGGCGACTGCAGCGAGCTGATCTTTTGTGGTCTGCAGGCAGCACGCCAGTGCAGCAGCTCTCAGCCTGGTGGGGCTTGATGCCCCTGGGACCCAGCTGTCTCCCAGTCTTGTTTTCCTGCACTCTTCCACCAAGAAGTTATGGTGTTGCTAGTTGCTCTCTCTGAGATTTCTCAGAGATCAGCTTCCTCTTCCATCTTTTCCCCAAAGCAGTAGTTCCCTTCCTGGACAATTTCCATTCCCCATCAATGGTGGGACTAGTCGACACATAGAACAAGTGTGTGTATTCTGGAGAGCTTATCGCAAGGCGGCCAGCAGGGATCGTTATCAAATAATGACAGTGATGGATATAGGAATGCGGGGATCTCAGAGGTGTGAGGATGGTGATCCCGTAAGGCCATTGTAAGACCAAGGAGTCCCCGTTCCCCACGAGCATTGCAGGCGTCAGAAGGCCGTCACAGCTCAGCTTGTCACTGGTGTATGAGGGGCAGCGCTGCTGCAAGCAGGTCCATGCTCTCAGCCACATAAAAGTGCAGCATGCACAAAGATGTACACACGTGATGCTTGGTAACCAGTGACTGTGTTACCAGCTTGTGGGTTCATGTTGTGCAAATCATTAATTTAGAGTGCAATCCTTCTTACCCCAAACTCTTCACCGTGGGACAGTGGGCCAAATGACAACAGCAATAGCATCAAATGTTTGCCATGTCCTTTGGCTGCATCTGGAGCCCAGAAAAGGGACCGACCCGCAGTTTAGGACTGTGTGACAAAACTGGCTGATGACCCCCATTCTTGGAAAGCAGCCATCCCCACAGCATGCACAGCTGTCAGCACTTTACAGTCAACACAGGAAGTAGATAAGAGGCTTGTTCTTCATTTTACAACCAGAGAAACTGAGGCACAAGGTGGTTCAGTGGCTTCCTGAGTCACATGGCTCATACGCAGCAGGGCTTAGTTTTGAGACCAGACAAGCTGGGGCCAGAGCACGTGTTCCTGATTAAGAAGCCATTGCAACTCTTAGTGTGTTCGGATGGCTGGGGTTTGAGATGAAATCTCTTGTCAGCTTCCAGAGTGGTCAAGAAGGTGGAAACTGTGGGGTTATAGCATGGCTTCTCCAGCCCTGAGCATCTCTTCATGATTTACCTGTCACTGTGATGTTGGCGGCCAGTGGTGTCTTCTGTGATTCCAGGAGAGCCTCCTGTGCTAGCTGGAAAGTCCTTCAAGCTCAGTGCATGGCTCCTCCGCTCCTCTCCTCCACTCCTCCACTCCTCACAGCCTAACCTCAGCCTTGCTCCAGCCCCCAGCCCACCTGGCCCAGTCTGCTGGCCGTTTCTCTGTATGGGATGCCCCATCCCTGCACCCCTCTGCTCAGTTACATGAGAAGGAGATCACCGGTCATTTGGCTTGCTTTTGAGCTCCACTGGTACGCATAATGCTTTCTGGTCTCCCCCAGCATTCACACTGTGCCGTGCTATACAGTATGCGTGTTTGAGCCTGGATTTGACTAACCTGGTAGGGAATTTTATACCACATTGAACCAAAATATTCAGGAGACAGGGGCTCTGAGGTCTGGGGTGCTACAGAGAGCTGGAGAGAGTTGAAGCTGGAGAGAGTTGATGATAATTTCAGGGCTAACATCATATCCAGACAAGCAAATGACATTTCTAAACCAATGAAAGCTGGTGAACGCTGAATTTTACTTTTCCTCCCTGGGATAGAAGTGGAACCTTACCCACACGATTCTTACTAATATTCGCTACCAGGAAAAACTCCTACCGCATACTGCTTCTCAGTATTTCCCTTTAGGTATGACTTTCACCATGAAGTTTCTGCTTACAGTTTTGCAGGAAGGTGCTAGACATTAGAAGACAGTAGGAGCAGGTGGGTTACCAGCAGAGGGATGGACAGAAGACAGGCATGTCCCGCTGAAGCCCTAGGCTCCTTTATCCTACTGAACTGTTCATTTGGATCTGGAATCTCACAGAGCAGAAGGCGGGGAACACTGAGCTACATCCCGGGCCCTGCACCTCCGTCTTTGGGACACAGCGTGTGTATGTGTGTTTTCCCGCGCAGTCTGCTTTGGCGGCCCTACCGTGTGCCAGATCTGACGCTGCGGCATAGCTGTGTAAAGATAGAAGAGGCCCTGCCTCTTGCCATAGATGGGGTATAGTTTCTAGGGCTTCCTGAGAGAAAAGCAGCAGAGAGATTTCTGTGATGTAAGGTACTTTGTTATCCCAGGAGAATAACGGACGGCCTGTCGCTTATGACATTTTGGGGCAAGGTGGTATTTTGCCAGCATGATCACTAGGACATTATATTTGCCATTATTGTCATAGCAGTGCTGAGTGTAGTAGGGATGGCAACGAAATACATCTTATTAGGCCATTTTCAGTTATTTCCTGAAAATACTACATTCAGAGAATGTTAGCTCAAGCTGACACATTTGTCCTGATCTAATCTGGAATTTTCCCTATGGTTAACTGATTCAAAATGTGTACTATTTAACTTTTTTTGTGTGTAAAATTGGGAAAACATGATGTACATTACTTGGTATCATAAAAACAAGCAAAAATAGTTGGGCAAATTTATTTAAAACTTTTCTCACTTTCCTGGAGTGATTTTCTATAAAGCTAGGCGCTTTTGCCTTTGTTTATCTCCTTGCTAGCTTTCCAGTAATGGCTCATCTTTGAATAAAAAGTATAAATTTCTAATACACATACTTTCTGTTTTTATTTGCTTGGCAAGTTTTTTCCTGCTTTCTTCTTTGGTGCTGAGGATGAAGCCCAGAGCAAGTGCTGTACCACTGAGCTATCCCCGGCCCCCTCTTGGTAATTTTTATGGGTCAAAAACCATCACTAATTCCTCTTGGGTTCCTGACCTTCATTTTACATGTGCTTGCTTCCCTGGGACGAGTGCTGTACTTTTTTGTAGTTCATCTCTCAGGAAAATGTGGGTGAATCAATCTCCATTAGCCCCTGTGTCATCCCTTTACTTTCTGCAGTGCATGGTCTCATGTCTCTTCACTCATGTAATGCTCCATTAATATTTGTGTTTGTTTACTTGTTTGGGATAAAACATTTTGTTTGAACATTTGTATGTCATTAAATACAGTTTTATTCAGTTTATGCTAATTGGGATAATTGGACTTAATGGAGCCAGGAAGAAGGATGCTTCATATAAGACAAATCAGGAAAATGACTGTTTTCAGTAAGAACAGATAATGGGCCTTGGAGAACTTCCTCAGGCAGAGGGCAGAAGGTTCAAGATTCCATCTTCCCGAATCTCTTGGGTCTTGATGTGTCTGTTTCTTTCACTTTCGCTATGGGACCACAAGACGAATACTCAAGGACCACAGTTCATTTTCTAAATTATTTTGAGGCCACAGAAATAAAGCAATAGAGCAATTTATGAAGAACATTTTAAATTGGAAGCATGCTGCTACCCTAATAATTCTAGAGTTCTTTCATCATCATCATATAGTTATTGTCCGAAAGGTTATATTTTTTATCAAAAAGTATGTGCATTAATTTAAAACTATGTTTCATTTAAGTATTTCAGATCCAGAATTATTAATTCAGATTCATAGTCCTGTAGAATTTTTCCTTCTGCTCCTAAATGGATTAAGGCACGATCTTGACCAGTTTCTCTAATGGTATCTAAACAAATGAATTTATATAAATATATATATAAATTTATATAAAGAAATGTATTGATATAAATTTGATCACAAGAGCTAAATAAGATGCAGAATTTTTAAAATATGCAAAGTTGGACACAAAGAAATTGCTGTCTTTGGGTCACAGAACAAAAGAGAGAACTGGAAATAGTCAGAGGGTGGCACAAGTTATAGTAGAAAAAGCTGACACAGACGTGGGACCCAGCTGGTGCCCAGGAGAGGGGAGGGAACTGGATGTAAGCCAGGGGGAGCCGAGGAGATGAGCCGGGTCCATCATAGGGTCAGCGGGAGAGGAGCTGTGAGCGAGAGTGAGGGAGAGTCAGGACCCTCTGAGGTGGGGGTACCCCCACTCCCAGGTCATTTCTAATCCTAATTCTGAAGGTGCAAACTCTTATCAGTGGCTTCTTGCTGTGAAACAGACATTTGAATCCTTGTGTTAATATTGAGAATTCCCTGCTTCACTCTCTTTCCTGGGGATTTTGACATCTCATTGTCTTGCTTTGCTTCCTACTCAAATCCTCCCCTCATCTCTGTTCACCTCAGTGTGGACATTTGTCTAGGCCAAGTCTTGATTCTGTGTTTCTTGCCCTCTTGCCCTCTCAATACAGACTGGTTCAGGTCATCACGCTGATGTCTACAGGTACAAAAATTCCCCTCTGTTCATTGTCAGTTTCTACCCGAGTTAGAAAGGGGTAGGATCAGGAGCTGTACTTGACTGACTGTGTGTGGGGTGGGCCGGAGTGGTGAGAGGCAGCAGCAGGAGCCAGGGCTGAGGCCTGGCCTCTGTGGCCTGCTCACAGGTATCTCTTCTTGTCCAGGTGGCTGCAGATCTCATGAGGCGCTTACACCTTGAAGCCCACGCGGACAGACTGGTGGCTACCTACAGTGGAGGGACCAAGAGGAAGCTCTCCACAGCCCTGGCCCTTGTGGGCAAACCTGACATCCTATTATTGGTGAGTAGTGGAAATAGTGTGATCCATGTTACGTGTGGATTTGAAAACTTAGTTTAGTCTACCAGAGTTCTTCCAGGAAGTAACTCTAACTTATAATGTTGACTTTATAAATATGAAGCTTCTGCTCTAACTTAGTATTTCCCAAACAAAATCTAAAATATCAGTGGAATTTTGTAGAATAAGACATTTATCTCATATTTGTCAGATTTAAGTCAATTAAACTTTAACATTAAAATTACATTCAAAAGAGTACTATAATTCACTTTTAATCTGAAAACCAATATATGTTTTTCTTCTAGCATATCACTTTCAAGTCTTTTTCTTCCTGCAGGTATATGTTTATATAATAACAAAAGTGACATGTGTCTGTGCTAAATCAGGAGGATGGATGTCAGGGTCTTCATGGTTTAGATAAGTCCCCTACACCCATAAAGGCTTGGTCCCCAGTCTTGATGCTATCGGGAGGTGATAGAACCCTGAAGTTGTAGGTCCTAGTGGAACGTTGTTGGGTCATGAGGGTCTGTTCTCAAAGGATATTGTCAGGTGCAGGTCACTTCCTCTTCCCCTTCTTTACTTCCTGGCTATGAGGTAAGCAATTTTGCTCTGTTACTTGCTCCAGCCATGATGAGTGGCTGGCCACTGGTGCAAAATCAGCACAGCAAACCCATCATGGACTAGAGGCTGCAAAACTGGATCCAAAGTAAATATTTTCTTTTTGTAAGTTGATTCCCCCAGTTACTTGCTATAGTGATGGAAAGCTGGCTGACACATGGATGTGGAGGGGAGGGATGAGGGTTCCAGCAACAGGGTGGAGCATGAGCAATAGCTCCAGGGCCCAGGCTGTCTCTAATCTACGTGCAGACACAATCAGGCCAGGTGAGCAGGACAAAAACATGAACTGGAGTGAGGGCCACCAAAAAATGGATCTAGCTGCCTTGCATTTTATAAATGGATCTAACTATGCATAATGTTGCTGTTGCAAAAAGTAGACAGGATTCTCATCAAGATATTGCACCCTGGGGCTTCATCCTCCCAGGCACTCTTAAGGGTGTCAAAAAGCATTGGAAACAAAGCAGAAGCATTGTTTTCTGGATTTCTGAAGATCTGAGTTGGAAAAAATAGCCTCATTGTTTCCTGGTTATCTATCAGAAATGCACCTGAATATTCCTTTTCCTTGTTCCACATTTGCTATTGCAAAGTCCCAAATAAAGAATGGTCACAGCCATCTGATGATACAGACCAATATTTGCACCATTCTGCAGTGTGCACACACATTATCCTCTTGAGGCCAGGCGGGTCACACTGAGGAGTTGCCAAGACATGGGGCGTAGGGCTGGGGATTTAGCTTACCTGAGCACACGGTTCCAAGTTTGATCCCCAGTACCCAGAAAAAGACATGGGATGCAGTTCCTGCTACACAGTGTTCCTGTCCTAGCTGGCACAGGGCACAGTTGGATGAGGGCCTTCTGCACTGGAGCCGTGCCCCCATCTCCCTGCAGACCCTGTTTGTCTTTTTTTCATATCCCTGCTCTTTCTCCCTTGGATGCTGGGACTGTGGCGCAGCGGCCACATGTGGACTCTGGAGTCCAAATGATGGGGTGTGGCTTCTGCAGCACATGACGTCACACACTCTGCTTCTCCTCTTCCTGTCTGAGAGTGGTCCTGACCCTCATGTCAGTCTTGTGGAGCCACTGAAGACAGTAAATGGACAGATCCCCATTAAGCGTGTAGCCCAGGGCTTTGTGTGTGATAACTGCAAGACCATGAGTGGCCCTGAAGACACCGGCTGTCCAGAGCATCAGGGTAAAACGGGGCCTTTGCAGTTCTCCACGGAGACTGGGAAGCAGCTCTCAGAGGGGCACCACGGTGAGACTCAGGGAAACTTAAAATGACACATGCAGGACTCCTCCTGAACTGTGCAGCGTCACACTTTTCATCTACTTATTTTATAAGTAGCACACACCTGTCACTTGATGTGCAGAAGCAACCAGGTGTTATTTTTATCTTTATGCTCAGTGCTTCCCCACTCCACTTGCTTCTGTTTTTACTTTGGGGAGAAGCTGATGACCTGAAACTCTTAACAGAAATGTGTTTAGTGCTCCTTGGCTGCGAAAAGCTCAGCAATGCATCAAGCATTGGGCAAGTTCCTCTAAGAAGGGCTGCAGATAACAAGTGCTTGGGAGTTTAATTGAAGGAGAAAGCTTCAGGTTCCAGGAAATTTCAATTAATTGAAAGTTGTTAATAAATGGAACCCTTCCCCACACAGTTCCTGTTTCCAGGAGTGTCATTATGAGGCTGAGGACTAATCTTGAACACATCAGGGTTGGGACACCCAACCACATCTCAATGGAGAGCCCAGCTTATGTGGAAACCCCACCCCAGTTTTATTGAGACATAATTGACAAATAAAAATCACTTATATTTAATGTACACAATATGATTTTCTAATAAACATAGTTACTCTAAAATGATTGCTATAATCAGGCTGGCTAACCTAACAGTCACTTACCTTAATGACCATTTCTTTTTTCCAGTATGTGGTGAGAACCCCTGTGACCTATTATGCCAGTGGATTTCAAATGCATGGCACTTGAGTTGTTAGCCATAGTCTTTGTGAGTCCATTTGGCTTCTGCAACAGAGATCACAGGGTGGGTGATTCGTAATGCACAGAAAGGTAGTTGTCACCATCTGGAAGCTGGAGGACCAAGATCAAGGTGCCCCTGGGTTTAGGTGCTGAGGGAAGACCTGTCCCTGCATCTCTCCAAAATGGTGCTGTGAACTATGCACCCCCAGTGGGAGGAAGGCCGTGTCACCATGGGGCAGAAGTCGGAGGGCAAAGCAGGACAAACTCTCCATCAGCACCTTTTCTGGGGCTCCAAATACCACTCATGAGGGGAGTAGCTTCGTGACACAAATCACCTCATAAATCCACACTCCCTATACGATTACATTTCAACGTGGATTTTAGTGTGGACAGAAATTTCAAATCATAGAAATCCCTGTGCTATATATTTAAATCTCCAGAACTTATTAATCCTGCAGAAATGAAATCTTGTGCCCCTTGACAACATCCTCATATCTCCAGTGTCAGCCTCCAGTATGCACCCTTCCACCCCTGCTTTCCGAAAACTTGACTTTTTTAGACTCTGCATGTAAGCGAGATGAAGAGTAACTGTCTCCTTGCATTTGGCTTATTTCATGTGAATGTAGAGTCCTCCAGGTTCACACGTATTGTTGAAAACTGCAGAACTTGCTTTTTCATCCTGTATCATACCCCATTGCACACAACAGAGTGCAGCATTTGATATTTGTCCCTCTGTGCCTGATTTACTTCACTTACTGTAATGTCCTTCAGGTTCCTTTGGGCTGTCACATGTTAAGATTTTCTTTTTTTCATTTTTATAGCTGATTAGTGCTCCTTTGTGTGACCGTGCCATGTTTTTATTCATTCATGTATCTGTTTGGGACGTTTTGGTTGATTCCACTCATTGGCTCAGGTGAAGTAAGGATGAGCCTTTGGCGGCTCTCTCTTTGGCACGCTCAGTTCATTTCCTTTGGCGATAGCCCCGGCAGTGGAAATGTGGATTCCACGGTAGTTCTAGTCTTCATTATGTTCTTCATACTGGACGAACTAATTCAGCTTCCCATCGACAATAACACTGTGCATATTGGCTCCCTTGATGGTTTCATAAAAATCTTGTAGGCTTTCTTCATTCTTTCTCAACTTTCTCTTCTTTTTCTCCTCTAAATGGGTAACTTTGCATAACTTGTATTCAAGTTCACAGATTCTTTCATTCTATCCAGTGAACCTGCCTGGGCACCGCTGCATTTTTGGTTATGTGCATTCATTGCCCCTCCTGCCCTGGAGTTTCTGCTTGTCCTTCTTGTATGACTTCTTTCTCATTTTGAGCTTTTCTTGTTGCTCTCTTTGCTGAACTGCTCTCTTTGCCCATTTGCTGTTTTTCTGATTTCTCTTCTCTATTCATCTTCACTTGTAGCTCTGGCTTTCTTAAAATGATGACTTTGAATTCTACGTCAGGCATTGCCTAGCTCTCTGTGCTGTGGAGACCAGTTGTTGGGACACTATTGTGTCCTCAGGGTGGCATCCTGTTTCTTTGCATGTTGTTGTTTTCATGTTCCATGAGGTCTGACCTCACCGTCTTCACATTTGTAGAGGTGTCTCCTTTACTAGTCTGTCCTGGCTTGGAAAGAATCATCTCACCAGCCAGCTGGGTGCAGGATTCTGAGGTGCTCTCATATCTGTTCTGAGACCTGCACATGTCACACCTCAGTGGCCTGGGAGGGAAATGTGTAAAATTGGGTACAAGAGGAGGCTGGGTGTGAGTGCCCCATTTGTTTTTACTGATGTCACACCCTGGTGTGTATAGTAGTGTCCCTCCCTCCAGTTCTGCAGTCGTGCTATTTGTTTTGGGGGGATCACTTGCCCTTTCCCCATGTTTTAGGGATGTCTCTGGGGAAGCTGAGGCACCTGCCAGCCCATCTTGAAGGAGCCCTACAGAGAGGCTCCTGTGACCCAACCCCTCCCTTCTCCCATCTCTCCCATAGCCCAGCAGTGCTGGTCAGTGCACAATCTAGGAGGTGAGCAGGAAGTGGCCCTCCACTGGTGTCCTGAAAGAGGCAAAGGGAGCCAAGACCCTACTCAGGACTCGCTGGTCTTCTGGACTCTGCTAGACAGTCGAGAGGAAACCACAAGGGCCACAGAAGGGATTTCCTTGCAGTCCCGCCTGGCTGTTCCTGGTGGAGTGTGCATTTCTGTGTGCGTTCACCAAATTTCCACCACTATGTCTCTCTGCTTCAGGATGAGCCCAGCTCTGGAATGGATCCCTGCTCCAAGCGCTACCTGTGGCAGACGATACTGAAGGAGGTCCGGGAGGGCTGCGCAGCAGTGCTGACCTCACACAGGTGAGCTGTACCCTGGCTGGCCACGTGCTAAGCCAGGTTAAGGGTGAGTCCAGGGCCAGCCACAGCGCTGGGCGATCCAAGTACAGTGCTGTGTGTTTGAATGTAAAAGAATGTATTCTCATTTCCTTTGTGATTTATTCTTTGACTTATAATATATTTAGAAATATTAGTTAATTTCTACCATTTTGGGGGAATTCCAGGTTTCTTTCTGATGTTCATTTTCCATTTAACTGTTGTGATTGGAGAAAATGCTTTTTGTGATTTCCATTCCTATACATTTATCGGGAGTTAAGGATTCCAATCCCTCGCCTCCCCTCTCTCCCCCTCCTTTTCCCTTTCCCTTCCCTCCCCCCAAAAGAACTAGATAATCACAGACACGGAAGATCAGTATGTGTGGCTCTGTTCCCAAGCTGAGGGGAGCAGGAGGCACGCCGCCCCGGTTTGTGACACTCGGTGTAGTGCATCCTTGCATGCCCCCAGTGGGGGAAGGCGTGTGCAGGCCATGCTGGCTGGGTGAGTCCGGTTGAGAGTGTTGGGATCCCATATTCTTGTGGGTTCTCTGCTGCAGACTTATCAGTATCAGAAGTGGGAGGCTGAAACCGTCCAGTGGTACCGTGCTGTTCCCTTTTCCTTCTGAAGCTACCATAGATTTTGGCTCATATATTCGAAGCCGTGGAGTTAGGCGAACACACGTTCTGAACTGTGACCTTCCAATGCCATGGTCCTTCTTTGTCTCCATTGGTATTTTTTGTTTTTGTTTTAAAGTCTTATTTTGTCCGATGATAGAAAACTGATACTGTCTTTGGTTACGGTCTGTTCTATGTTCACATCTCCTTACCTTGAGACTCTGTGTGTGTTGCAGCAGAAGGAACGTATCCTTCACAGGTATATACAGTAGTTGGACCTGGCTTTTTTCCTGGCCTTCAGTATCTGCATTTTGAATATGACAATGAGATCGTTCTGCATGTAATATAATTATAAACATGATTGCATTTATATCTGCCATTTTGATGTTTGTTTTTACATGGCTCCTGTGTTTTTATATCTCTGTTCCTATTTAACTACTCTTTATGTATTGAATAAATAATTTTAAAGGTAACATTTTTGACATCTTAGATATATATTCTCAGTCTATTTTCTTAATAGTTGGCTTGGGAATCAAAGTTTGCACCTTTATTCATTGTACTGGCTCTAGGGCCAGGGATTTAGCTCAGTGGTTTCAGCCCTAACCAGTGAAATATTGTAATTGTGCATTCATACTGTTCTGCGGCCTCCTTTCCTTTGGCCCATATGTATTGTTACATATATATTGCATTTTATACATTCTGCAATGATTATAGGTTATGATTATCAGTTTCTATAATAGCAATTCTTGAAGAAGTTAAGAGAAAATATGAGAAAATCATCTGTAGAATCTTACAGAGTGACATGGCCATTTGGGAACTCAGTTGCTCATGGAAAAAAATTTGTTCATCATTTGCTCAAATGTTTTTTTCTTCTTTTTAAAACTTTTTTGGAGACAGGGTCCCACTATGTAACCCAGGCTGTCCTCAAACTTGTGATGAATCCTCCTGCCTCACTCTCCTGAGTGCTGGGATTTCCATGCCGGGATTTGCTCAAATGATTTTTGGCTCTGTCTGTCCACCTCTTCCTTTAGTGGTTTCATTACATGGTTGTTGGGACTCTGATCATGCCCACAGATCTATGAGTTCCCGTTCATTTCTTTTTGGTCTTATTTGATCTGCTCTGAGGCTGGGTAATTTCTTTGACTTCTCTGGGAGCTCTCTGTAAACTTCCTTCTGCTGTCATAAATCTGGTGTTGGTTGCGTTAGTCAATTTTTCATTTTGTTTGTTGTGCTTTTCAATATGTTTTCTAATCGCTTCTCTTTTTATAACTTTCATTTCTCTCTTTAGACTTTCTATTTATTGTCATTTGTTGTTACCTCTCCCTTAATTATTTACAAGTGTTTTCCTTTAGTTCCTTGAACATATTTATAATAGCTATATTGATTTTTTTTCCTGCTAAATCTAGCATTGAGGAATACTTAGGGACAATTCCTATTGCTGATTTTTCCCTCTATTCACTGCTTTCTTATTTCTTTGCATTCTTTTTTTTACCATTTTAAATTGAAAGCTGGATATTTTGGATAATCAGTGCCCCTGGATTCTGAGCTCCTCTTTCTCAAAGTCACTCTTCTTACCACATTTTTTGTTTGTTTGTTCATTTGTTTCCAAACACTTCTGTCAACTTTGTGTTTGAATTCTTTTTCTGGGAAAACCTTCTTTCCTGTTTTTAAAATTGTTTGCACTTTTTTTAAGGCTGGCTGCACAGTAGTCACCTCTGCTTTTGCTTCTTCCACCCACCCCACAAATGGGCAGTGGCTGTATTTACCCTGCTCAGGCTGACAAAATGCTGTCCTCTGCCAGTGGACCTCGATCCTGACAGCAGAGGAAGTCATGTGTCCAGGCTGTTTTCGAGCTGGCGCTGTGATTCTGGGTCCCTCTGCCCTTCCTAGGTGCATGTAGATGGCCTCTGGGGTGACAAGCAGATGCATATACATGGCCTTGGTGGGCTGCGTGCACGCCGCAGACACACAGCTTCAGCCTGTTAAGGTCAACACCATAGGTACTGGAGGCGTTGGCCATTCCACCTCCTTGCTCCAACAGTAGTCCTGTCCACAGCAGTGTCACGGTCAAGGGCATGGCCAGCTCTTGACTTGGACCTCGCCAGAGGTCCTATCCCTCATATTTTGTTCTCATTATGTTTCTCTTTGGAAAATAAAAATTTACACTGAAATAAAATACATGTGGTGAATCTACTTCACTGTGATACTCATCCATGGAAGTGCCCATTCTGCTGTGCCAGTTCTGCTGGCTTTCCGTGTCCCTGCACTCACGGCGCTGGCACTGGTTTCCTGGCAGGAGGACACCAGTCTTGGTGTCCAGCACAGGATCTGTGCCCGGGAAATGGTCCCACCATAGAATTCTTTATTTCTCATGTAACATGTAATTAGTGTCAACTGTTCTCAGAAAGACCCTATATAACTGCAATTTCTCTTTCATATCTTCCTATTCATTTGGTTTCACATAAATGACACACATATGAATATATACAAATTTATTTCCATAAATCTGTCCCTATTCAACTAATACAAACATCCAAATTACACACTGTAAATGAAGAATTGAAAGCCTGTGACTGATTCTGTAATGCTAAAATGATTCTTTAGTGAGAAGAGACTTCTAGGCTGGGCCACTTCACCTTAACTTTGCATTCATCTTTCATTGGCTCTTTCCCTTACCCCGGAGCATCTTGGGAAATCATGGCTCTGGAGCCTGGGGCAGGAATCTTGCGCACACGTGGCTTAGTGAAAGGACTGGCTCAACCAAGAATAACCACACTGCCTCTTCCTCCCGTACCAGATGCTGATTCATGAATTCCAACAGAAGCCCCTAAATCTCTGCACTGTCCAACCCTATTTCCATGTAATCAGACTATCCACAGAGGAAATTTGGTGCTTATTTATTTCTTGATCAATGATTTATTCACCTAAATGACCAGTGACTGTTGTCATTGAATATGCCTCGCCTTACATACCCTTCTCTCCATAGATCGTCATAACTTCTGTCTTTGCAGTCTGGGCTGTGGTTTTACAAATCCCCATGTTCATGGCCTATTCATTGGACAGTTAATTACAGCTCATTTAGAATCACCAAATCCCTCATCCAGAGTCCTTCATTTATGCTGGTTTTTATTTTGACCTCCGCTTGTCACAATACAGAAGTGACTTCTTAGTCTGTCCACAGTACAGGTATAAAAATGTAAAACTCTCTTCAACTGAGATTAAAGCAATGGAGGAAATATGTATTTGCATAGAACAATATAAAGCAGCTCAGGAATGTTTGCAGCATATGTTCCTTAGACTTCAAGTTAAACTACAGCAGAAAAACCTTAGACGGTAGTGTCTCAGGCAAGATGTTTGTGGCTCACTTAACACTTGATGTTGCTGGGCTCTGCTCCACCAAGTCCACTGAGGATGCAGGTCCACTGTTCCATGTCACTTCCCACCTGGAAGTTGTCCTCATCCTCCTGGTGCAGGTCGAGTTACAGGCTCTATAGAAGCAGGTCAAGTGGCCTCCTTTCAGAATGACCCAGAATTGTGTGTTTTGTAGGCGCCACTGCACATGCCCACCTCTAGCTACAAGGAAGACTCAGAGGTAAAATCTTGAACTGAGCCCCGTCCCCTAGAGAGCAGACCCCACACTGACTATGGCCCAACAGTACACAGAGCTTCCTGCTGAGAATTTGGATAAAACAAAACAGCAAACAGGAAGACAATCCACACTGATTTTTCACTTTTCAGATATTGATATGGATGCTTTTTTTTGTGGGTTTTTTTCTTCCTAGAAAAATTTCCCACATGTACGTGTGGTTTTCCCAGTACACACTGTCATTTTGCCCTTGCTGTAGTGGGAGATTTACACCATGTGATGGGTGGACTTTCGAGAACCTGAGGTTTAAAGGCTCATACAGGGATATACTCTTGCTTCCATGAGTTTTGTATTACCCTACTGTGGAATATTTACCTACGGTCATATTTTTACTATTATAGATAAACATTATACATTCATATCTTGTGTTTCCTAGGACAAGTTCCTAGACCAGAAACTACTCCCAAACTAATTTTCCAAAAGTTATGCCAATTTTTACTCCCACAAGAATAGGACAGTGATGGCAAACCTTTTAGAGACTGAGTATGCAAACTTCAATCCAAAACCCACTTATTTATCACAAAGTGCCAACAGTGCAGTAAAACCCAAACACTGAGGTTTTAGAGAGAACAACTCATACATTAACATCTTTTGTCTTAAAAACACAGTAACAGAGCATTCAATGATACAATCAGCTTTTTATTGAAAGGTAAAAGTTTGCATTTGGTGAACTTTTGCACAATAAAAGTGATCTTTGCTATTGTGTGCATGCTGATAACTTGTCACACCTTGGCGAGAATGGTGTCTCACATGCTGACAGGGCTCTGCGTGCCTGCTGTGACATGATGGGTGTCACAGGTTCGCCACTGCTGGTATAGGAAATGACCTGCTTGCGATTACTGAGAAAATGTCTTTAACAGTGTGAGTATTTTATTGATCTTAGAGCTCATAGTTTTTATGTGAAATGGTGTCGGGGGGAAGACGTTTTCCATTTTATCAAAGAATCAGAGTGTCTTTCTGGCTAACGACTAGTTTTAAGATCCTTCGGTTTATGATTACACTTATAGATTGTTTTGTTTTTTGACCTACGAGTAGTTCTTTGAATCTTTTCTACTTGTTATTTGCCACTTTTATCCCTTGGATTTATATTGCTTTGTAAAACTCATATAGGTGACTTCTATCTGGTGAGTATATGTAAGGGTAATGGTCTCTCCCTTGTAGGTCTTGCTGTGTCTTACTTTTCGTTTCCTTTTTATTGCTGGGAATCGAAGCCAGGGCTTCACAGATGGAAGGCGAGTGCTACAACATCACACTATAGCCTTGGCCCCTTTGTTGCAATACAGTAAATATTTGCTGTATCTTAACACCCTCAGTAGGAGTTCCAAATTTTGCATTGCAAGTATATTGGACACGTCCTTCCAGATTCCTTAGCAAGCTTGCTTCCACCCTGAAGTCACTCCAGTTTCTCAGACTTCAGCTGTTGCTTTGGGCCGTCTTCTGTTCCATTGCTTTGGCTTCGTGATGGTTCAGTGTGTTACCTACTTTTAATTATTTTAGTGGTGGTGTGATAAATGTTAATGCTTTCTGGGGCACTCTTCCCTCATGACTCTCAATGTTCTTCTTCCTCTCACTAAATAATTTTAAAGACATGCTTTATAACCACTTTCAGTTTTTCTCATGGGGGTGATAAAATTTTTATGGGGGGTTATACCATACTTGTACTATTATAGCTTAGGACTCATAATAATATCATACATTATAAATCTTTGTAACATATTCTACATTAAAATAATACTTAAGATATAATTTGGATTGTAATCAGAATGTAAAATATTATTTATAGCATTTTAAATGTTGCATACTTTATGAAAATATAACATTTTATATATGAATTTACTTATTATTGTTATGCTTGTGCTATTATATTTTAAATTTACAATAATAGTATGCTGATATTATTTGGTGTTACACTAATTTTCACATTATGTTTTCCTATTTTTAAAATATTCACAGTTTTCCTTTTTTCCCCCCTCCTATTGATTCAAGGTTTCACTTATGTCTCCTGGTAAAATTTTATTACTTTTGTAATAAAATATTCACTTTTTTTGTTAAGATCTTACCTACTTCGTATTTTTGTCCTATTGCTAAATGGTTCTCGCCTGCATATTTTATTGCTGGTTTTCCTGGAGCACGGAAATGCTAATCATTTTTCAATTGCATAATTGGACACCTTAATAAATTTTATGAATTTTAGAAGCATGATATTTGGTTTTCATGAGGTTTTTATATTAAAAACTCACATGATTTTCCCCGGTGGTATTTTGGGCCGCTTTTAATCTTTCAAGCTTGCACCCAGTCACCCACCTTTGGCCGTGGCTCACTGCCTGTTTCCCCCCCTCCCAGCATGGAAGAGTGTGAGGCGCTCTGCACCAGACTGGCCATCATGGTGGACGGCAGCTTCCGGTGCCTCGGCTCCCCTCAGCACATCAGAGACCGGTATGTGGAGCTTCCTTTTGTTTAAGTGTTTCCTGTCAAGCCCACAACATGATGCAGTATTTTAAGTAGAGATGCTTTGGGACAGAGTGAACTAGTCAGTAACCTCCTGCTGTGCAGTAGGAGATGAAGGCCCTGAGACACTAAGGGAATGTGCAGAAGCCATAATCAGTAAGCCAGACACACAGAGATTTCCAGACATTGTCCTAAAGCATTTTGCTCTCCTCCTCTCGCACCTCGAGTGGTAACGGTGGTAAAGATGACAACCTGATGGCAGCATTGAGATACAGGCAGGCCTGGGAATGACGACCTTGCATACCAAGCGCCTTATGCAAAGGATGCCCCCCACCCCCGCTGTACCATTCTCACGCAACGAGTCAGACTTGCGCCATGCCAAGCAGCACGCTTAGCAAAGCCCTCTGTTGCTGGAAGAATGCGAAAAAAGATTGCTGGGGCCACCTTTCATTTGGGCTAATGAAAGAATGAAGGTTTCTTTCCTGTGCTCATGAATCCCTTTGGTTTCTTCCTAGATAATTATCTCTTCATGCCCTTTTCCATTTACTTTTTGGAAGCTTAATGATTTTGTTATCGATTTCTATGAACATTTTATGCCTTGTTATAACTTTTTTAGAGTTGCCTGAATGATTTTCTAATTTCCTTTAATTTGTTGTTTACACTTTTTATAGAGAGTAATTGTCATTTATCTTGATAAATCCGTTCTCTTTTTCATGTATTTAGTGTTATAAAGGTTAAAATCCTCAAGCAGAGAACTAATATATACACAGAATCTGCCAAAAATGTATACACACTTCAGGAAAAGTACAATAATAAATGTCTGGGAGCTTTTGGCCACGACTTTGAGCGCTTTTTGTAATTGTAAAGGCCAAAGATAACTCGCTGTAGTCTCATGATGCCTTAATAAATTTAGTATTAAAATATTTGTACAAGGTTTTCTTTTCCTGTAGTGTGTATACATTTTTGGTAGATTCTGAGATCACACACACACACACACACACACACACACACACACATACACAAACCTATTTGTGGACTCACTTTGTATACGTAAAGTTAGAATATTTTTACTTGGGAGAAAATAACCAGTGCTTGGATTGAAATGATAATTAGGGAGTGAATTTTGCATTTCCAGAGAGTCATAGTTAGGCAATATAGTACTGAGACAGCAGGCTTCTTGTTTTCTCCTATTAAAAAAAAAACTGCTATAAATAAAACATAGGAACCCATGTTTCCACAGTCATGAGATTAAAAAATAAGGGGTGACTGCTGGGTCTGGGTACCCAGAAGTCATGTGTAGGGTCCTTCACTTGCTGGACGAACCTACTAAAAACTGTTATCATTGTGTACTCTGCTCATCTTTAATAAGTGATATCAGAAGAAAAAATAATGTTCCACACTCTCTAACACTGACAAATGCCTTCAAACAGCTTTACAGCCCATTCCTGATAGTTGGGAGATTTATGCTAGAGGTCAGCTACTTGCTTTCCCTTGGGTTGGCTACCGTTGGCCATGGAGCCAGAGGATGAGGACCGGGCAGAGTCATCCTCCAGCTGTGTGGTCTGCAGGCTCCAGAGTGTCTGCTCCCAAATTAGCTCTTTTGATCACCCCACCTAGCAACTTGGACTTAGTTCCATTCATTCCCTGGACATCATGACGTCTAGGGAACACAGACCTTTAGCGGGGCACTTTGCCACTAAAATAGAATAGGAATCGGTTTTCTGCGTGGAGAGTGGAGGTCGGGTGGGTTTCCTGCAGTCTGGCTCCTTCTCTGGATTGGATCATCAAGGTAAGGGTGTGTTATTAGGATGAGCAGTGACTCTCGAGCTTCTAAGATGGTAATCTGATGTAGAGAAGCCTTAAATGTAAGAGAGCTTCCTAAGTGTGTGTGTGAGTGCCCATGTGTGTGCACGGAGACTAGTGATCAGAGGAGAGCAGGATAGGGTGCTGGCTACCTGACAGCCAGACTCTTGTGGCACTGATATTTTGGACAGGTAATTAATCACTCACATATTCACAAGTCCTTTGCCTTCCACACTTTGAGCTTGCTCTGAGAGCCTGATAGCTACAGGCACGTTCACCAGGGACCAGGATCCTGCAGGGGGCGCCTGTGTGCTTCGCCGCCCTCAGAAAGGACTTGCACAGGAGGCTGAAACTGAAGTGGTGGGAAGGCAAGAGCCTTCTGACACCCAGAGCTTCCAGTTTGAAGTGTGCTAGGCGATTTTTCTGATTCAGGGAAGAAGAAGAAGGAGAAGAAGAAGAAGAAAAAAAGGATGCTTGCTGGCAAACAAAACAAAGCTTTAAATGATCTAAGGAAAAATCTTAAGATTGTTAGTATTTTGATTTCCTTCAGCTGTCAAACGTGAACATTTGGGGGAATTAATAAAAATGGAAAACATTTCAGAGTGTACCATCATAGAGAGGGTATTTGGCCGCTTAACTTGAAATATACAAGTTAACCCTTATCTGAAAGAGTGTTTGTGGTGGATATTCTTCTAAAGAATGGAAGGAAGACTAATGATGTTTGAGCTCCCGAGTTACGACCGTCTGGACAGCTGCAAATTAATATGTCACCTTATGTGACACCATCTGCTTCACTGTGACAGGATGGATTTAGTGCTGCTACAACACAGTTCTGTAAACACACAGGCTTAGGCTGGGGTGACATCATCAATAATAAACCAACTCATTTAAAAATGGAACCGGTAATTCACTATGTTCATGTCATTTTCTCAAATGAGGTGGGGCACGTGATGTGGACCTGCGGGGTGAGCTGCTACCCATGCCTGTTTTTCTGCATCGCACTTTGTCTTAAAGCATCATGTAATTCCCTGGCTGCTCATTGCCCCTGAATTAATTCTCTGCACTGGAAATAGTTTTATTAAGAGAGCTATTGCCTGAGCTCCAGATCCTCAGTATATCTGTCTCCACCCCAGCTGATGTGTATAATTTGTCATCTCATTTGTTTTCACAACATCGGATTGCAGGAACAAAATTAATGCTGTTCTAACATAATTACCTGGGAAGAGATTTAGATTCTCATCTCCTGCTCTCGCTGGGGGTATCAGTCGGATGCCTCTGGTCTTGGAAATTCAGATCATGAGCAGTGTCACCCAGAGCTGTCACTTAATCAGAGGGAAACACTGCTTTCATTTCTTAGTATTATATTTTCTCTTGGAAATAAGCAGACTGCTTCTCACCCACAGCGAAGATGGGGATGAGAAGTGCTGGAGAGGGAAACCCTGCTTTTGTTAGGGGCGACGAAGACATGATTCCTCATCTCAGCAGAAGCACGGTGGAGCACGCAACAGGCACACACAGATGCACAGGTGCAGTGCTGTGGTCATGGTTCTGGGAGCCTGTGGATGCCATGCCGTGTGGTGCACTTGTTTCTCTCAGCAAACCCCACTGAATATTCAGAGTGCCAGGGACTGAGTGGGATGTAAGGCCTGAGCCCTGCAGGAACTGGGCTAGACACACAAATCAAAAGCTGTAACCGAAAGACTGGAAGTGCCTGGAGAAGGTTTTAGAGATGATTTTAAGTCCTATATACAAGGTAGGGATTAAGAGAAGGGAGTGTGCAGACCCAGGGTCTTAAGGGAAGGAACAGCCCAGTGGCTTCCTGGTCAGGAAACATTTAAGCCAAGAATGTGCATTAGCTGTGAATGCATTAGAGGGAGAGGCATAGTGAAATGAATTTGTGCTTAAGAACAGCTTGAATATAATGGGGTAGAAGTTGAATATTGACGCCTTCACCATAATTTTTGGATTCATTCTCAAAGTTGGAGATTATAATTCTAGGGTTAAAAATGGGAGGGACAAGGAGAGAAGAAGGAGTGGGCATTTTAGCAGATGTTTCTGTCTTGTATCTGTAAGTTTAACAAGACAAAACTAAAGCTAGCTGCTAGCAGGACATAGAGAAGGCAGTGTGTATGCAAGGGGCATTAGCCAAAAAAGTACAACTTTGTAACTAGCTGTTCTAAGGCTTAAAGAGTGAAAGAACCTTGGGGCTTGGAGGATAGAAAGATGGTTGAAGTCATTGGAAAATGGAGACCTTGGAGGGGTAGGGAGCATCAGGAGGGTTGTGAGCACTGTCAGGAACTATGGACTGCTGGAAGGAACTAGAGGGTGCTGGGAGGAAGTAGAGGACTTCTGGGAAGAACTAGGGGCTTCTGGGAGGAACTAGAGTACTATTGCGAGAACCTGGGGGCTTCTGGGAGGACCTGGGGGCTTCTGAGAAGAGCTGGGTACTGCTAGGATAGTTCATAATAAAAAAGGGTTTTTGGGATCCTACACTGTGTGCTCTCCACTATGGCAGGAGGCAGGAGGCAGGAGAGGAAGCCAAAAGGTGGGTGATTGCTGTCTCCCATTGACATGGGAATGGAGAGGCTGAATTCATCCCTGCTTTGTGCTTATGTCTAAGAATTCTGCAGTCAGGTAAACTGAGCTTAGCTCCATGCCATTGTGCTTGTGTTAATCCCCACTTAACACAGAATGGCCTACAGATGTTTACAGGCAGCATCTCCTTCAACCCTGTGACATAAGTGACTCCACCATGCAGAGACCAAGACCTAAACAAGCTTGTCGTCTGCCCACCGAGTTACTGTTAAAGCAGTCTCCCCTTCAAGCTTCCCAGTCTCCCCGACTCAGTTGGTAGTCTCAGTTGACATTACCTGTGCTGATTAAAGGACACCACTATGTCACGCCCTGCTGTGAGTGGTGTCATAAGTTCTCAGATTCTCCCACCAAATTTACTTCCTGTTGCGATCACTGAGGAAACAGACTGCCTTCTTGCCTAGACTCCTCTTTGACTTGAGGAAATAGAAGAGTTGTAGAATCAGAGACAGGATCAGATCCTTTTGCTTCAAAGGGGCCAGGAATACTTGTGCAGGACGCTGAAAAGAAGTGGTGGAATGTACCCACCCTGTTCCTACCTGAAGGTGTTGGGTGTTCTCTCTCCTTCACTGTACAATTCTTCACCAGAGCGA